TCACGGCATTCTCTGTGGTGCTGTGCCATTGTACCGGTAATACTTGTGCGCAGGGCAAGAAAGCTATATTCCACTCTCCGCACATACAACATGGATTCCACATATGTGTCTTTACTTCGTCGCCAGACTCTTCCCTGGACTTGTTCCACTTCACCCAGATCAGAGAGCAGTTTGCTACCCAAGATGCTAGCAAACGGAGACCACCACAAGAATACCATCCTGATAACTGGCTTGAACGGTTACCTAGCAGGTAGAACGGCCGAACTAGTATTGCGAGAAGGATACCGAGTTCGTGGCACCGTCCGTAACCGGATAGCAGGAGAGAAGGTTAAGGCCGCTCTCTTACAACTGGGCTACTGTTCAAATGATATCGACGTGCTCGAGGTTCCCGACATATGCCGGCACGGCTCTCTTGACGGTGCCGCTGCTGGTATGGAAGTAACTGTACCCTAGCAGAGCAGGTGCTAACTGATATATTCCAGGATGTATTGCCGTGTTTCACCTTGCTTCACCGGTTGCAGAAATATGGACACTCACTCCCTCAGAGGTAGTTCGGATAGCGACGGAGAGCACGGCGAGGGTTCTGAGCGCGGCAACGCGAACCAGTGAGACTATGAGGAGCGTGGTCTTTATGTCGTCGGCTGCGGCCTTGTTCGACATGCCGTTGGAGGACCAACTCTATACAGAAAAAGATTGGAATACTACGTCCGAGCAGATTATCAAACTGGAGGGAGATAAGGCGGGCGGCTTTCATGCATATCTTGCTAGCAAGACTGCCGCGGAGAGGACGTTCTGGCAATTTCGGGATAGCCACCGGCCTTCTTTTGGGATGACGGCTCTTCAGCCCACGTGAGCACTTTACTCCCTCGCGTCGAAATATCTTGTCACGCTAACGCAGGCGATAGGTACTTCATCGGACCACCACTGATTCCCTGGAAAACCCCCGCGGACATAACGTATTCCAATAGCGACTTCTGGAAAGTGGTAGCTGGCGAGGAAATACCCAGTGCCATGATGATTTACGGCGACACGATTGACATACGAGACGTAGCACGGATGTTGCTGTGGTCGGCATTGCACCCGTCACAGTCCGACGGCCAACGTTTCGTATGCTCTTCCTCCATCGGTGGTGGTCAGGCTATCGCCGATATATTGAGCAGACGTATGCCCTCCCTGAAGATACAGCGAGGACAGCCTGGGCAAGGCTACTCGCCCGATTACAAACCTCAAGTTGGTGTTGGCGGGTTCGACTCGAGCAAGGCTGTCTCAGCTACAGGAGAGGACTGGATTCCATATGAGGAGAGTGTCGTTGACATGGCACAGTTCTTACAGCGGTATCTCTCGTGATATATTGAGCAGTCATACGGCATGACAGAGGGTGTGCGGGCCTCATCCCGGGCATGTCGATTTTTCATTTCACCAGGATGCCGTCCCGCTTTGTCGAAGCATGAGGCATGATGGTCCCCTCAAAAAGCGCGGTGAATTATATAGAAGGCGTTTCGAGAAGTGATTAGGCGTAATAAAATTACTTATTAATTAGTGCGACCAATACGTATGACCTATATCTGACCTGCGCTTGATTCATCTTACGGAATCCCCAACTAATAATCGTTGCTAAGGGTTAACAGCAGGTGGACTTAAGGAACACCTGTGATAGGATAGAGCACAAATTTCGCATGATTTTTTATTAATCATACACGCATATCTCTCGGAAAGCCAAGTTCGGTTCGGGGTTGCTGCCTCAATTACCCGGCAACTATAAATTTTCACCTCTGCTCCATTAACATCCAAGATCGTGAACTTCGGGGTATCATAATATTAAACGTAATCACAGACTGGATGTGCGATGTGTAGACTTTTCAGACCCGAAGCAAGCTCTTGGGGTCAGATACATTGATGGTCCGCGCGCCACCGCTCCTTGGGGGGGGGGCGGGCGGCCCGCCCCGCGCGCGCGGCGCGCGCAGGACCGCCGCGAGGTGGGGCCCCGGCCCAGACACGCGGCCGCCACCGGCCGAAGCCAGA